TTTTGCTTTGTGTATTTTTTTGTTTATGATGGCCATTGGGGTTGTTTTGCTTTGTGTATTTTTTGTTTATGATGGCCATTGGGGTTGTTTTGCTTTGTGTATTTTTTGTTTATGATGGCCATTGGGATTGTTTTGCTTTGTGTGTTTTTTGTTTAGGATGTTTTTGCCTTCGTGTCCAGTACTATGTGATGCTCAACTGTGAAACAAACTATAGAAATACATATATTTACTTAATTGCATACTTGTCTTGTAATAGTAGTGATTTATTGGAAAATGCAATCATATCTCTTTGTATTTGACTCACAGACACAGACTCAAACCTTCATCCTACTATCTGCTCTGAAAGACCACTTCCAGCCCACATCCGTGCATGTATATTGTTTTGTTAGATAGCAGTATTGTAATTACTTAAGATTAATTTAAATATGGCTTAATTTGTGCATTCATTTCAAGCTGCCCCATTCAAAGCCTTTTTTCAAAGACTCTTCTTGGCACAGTCACTCATTATCAGAAACCTACTGGTTTGTGGTGTCATCGGTAATTAAAAAGTGTCCTTGGCAACACTTTTCTAGACCTACTGCTGATTTAATACAACTTTATTGTTAATGTAAATTAACTGAACAATACAAACACGAAGACTTCCCGATATGTAAAAAAATAATAATAATAAAAATTTAAAAATTAGACAAACAGTAATACAGGAACGATTTAGACACACAGCCCCTCTGTGTATTTTTGCATGACCCCTTTTCCACCAAACAGAAAGCAGAGCTCAGCTTTTCAGAAGCGATTCACGGACACTTTATTCCTCAGTCTACCTTATAAGCCACTTTGGAAGGACATTTCTTGCCGAGGCCTAGCGGGGGCGACATGTTGGTCAGCATCTCATACATGTCAGTGTAATGAATGCGCCCACTGGGGAGATGCCAGGGAGCAATGCAGATGAGGAAGAGGAAGAACAGGGCAGGCATTTCCAGGGGAGAACCGAGGAGGGGAAAGAACATGGAGGAGGAGGAGGAGGAGGACAAAAACAGGAGGGGAACATTGGAAAAGGGAAGAAATAACAGAAAAGAGGTTATTCACAGCAAGTTATATAAAAACAGAAAAGAAGGGAAAGAAACCAGTCAAATGAAGCATTGTAGTCGTTCTATGCAATTTCTGCATAGAAACCAAAGGACAAAGACCTCAGATTGACCAAAGGAATGACTGACCAGCCCATGTGACCTGGGAGCTCATCCCACCTGCGCTAACATGCTAAACAAGCAAGGCGACACGGCAGGGGCGTTACAAGCACTGTCCCGCCCCAGCCCTCATCAAACCCCAAACCTCAGTTCATGACCAATCATGCCCAAGGTTCCCAGAGAGATCAGGGTGCAAAGCCTGATGACTTCCAGTATCCGAGCCAAGTATCTGAGTCCTTCCGTGAGGCTGGAGACTCCCTGTATAGGGAAGCCTCTCAGTGACAATCGCAATGTGAGAACTGCAGGAAATAGTAAAGTAAATATGAAAGGGTGTCCAATCACACAGTGTTATATATTAAAGTATTTCAAGCTTTAGAAATGGATCTCATGTTTAGGCCCCCCAATATTCAGATGTGCTCACAATGTCCCCCTCAGTATATATTTTAATTATAGCCTTGGTCCCGCCCAATGTTGATTCTATGGCATGGTCAACCTTGACTCATTGGAAGGCCAACTCTTTGCACCACAAGGCCACATCTCAGTCATTCCTTGGCCTGGAGAAAAAAACAATTTCCAAACAGTGCAGGTGAACCAATGGAAGGACTGGTGGGCAGAGGAGCGGGGCAGGGGGTTTGGAGGCACTGGGTGCTGAGGCTGAGGGGGTGGCGGGGGGAGTTAGTGGGGAGCCAAACCTTGCACGCCACCCTGTAGGGGCAGTTCTTTCCAAAGCCCAGAGGAGGCGAAATTGTTCGCACTACTTTGTACATCTCCTTATAGTGAATCCTTCCACTGGAAAGAAAACACATAATGTTAGGGATGCAGGGTTTGCCCTCTGCTGGGCAATGCAGGAAAGAATGCAAATTCTTCCTCGGCAGCTGGATCTGCAAAGTGCCAGGACAGAGGAATAACAGCAGGACACAGCAGCACGATGAGCTGTAACCACGGCCTGCATCACCTGTGAGCATCTATCCCCAGCCGAGCTCTATCTGACTCATGCCTGTACCCTGCCATCTGCACTGGGTTGTGTACTTCCTGTTTGTTTATTTATTTGTTTGTTTAATTTGGGGGGGGGCTGTTCTGTTGGACAACAAATATCCCCCCTTGCGTCATGGATTAATAAAGTTTAATCTCCACTGTGTGAGTGAGCAGTCTGCTGTAGAAGCGTTTATTACTATCACCTCTAAACTTACTCTATGGTGTACAAGCACTGCAACATCATAACAGCAACTATAACAACCATCTTGTAGCTGCATAGACAGTCCCATGTTGTGGGTGGGGGGTCTGGAGCCTATCCCAGGCAACACAGGGAGTAAGGCTGGGAGATGGGATGCCAGCTCATCGCAGGGCACGTACACACACAAAGAAACACGCTACAGGGAATTCAGAAACGCCAATTCACCTAACTGCACGTCATCGAACTATGAGAAATGACTGGAGTGTTTGGAGGAAACCCATGCAAAATGGAGGGAAGACGGAAAGTCGACACATGCAGAGTGGCCACACTGCCAACCCTGGAGGTGTGAGGCAACAGTGCTGCCCACTGAGCCACCGTGCTGCTCATTGACGCTCTGCCTTTAATCTGACATCATTCGCCAATTTATAGCCCTGGCAGTTCGATCCAAGTGCCATTCATACTTGAGAAACTGCAGGCTCCCTTAGTCAAACATGTCCTTTGGGTGGACATATGGTCCGATGTGTACCATACAGGAGTGAGAGGGTGGGGGCTCACAGCACGTTGCCCTCTCAGGCCCAGATAACTGATGGTGTGGTCCCACAGAGAAGGGAATGCGTCCAATGAGGACAAGAGCCCAGATGCTGGACTATAGAACCTACTGCCGCTGACCTGCTTGCAAGCTAAATCCAAGCCATGTGGTGAGCAGAAGTTCAGGAGGACACAAGATCAGTATCATTCCATGAGACCTTCACTGAAGCCCCAGTCAGATGTCCACCAAATTCATTTATATTAGTGACAGTGTTACATAACATTCATAATGCTTATGCTCATCTCATATTCATATTTTAACAGGGTCAGATTTGGCAACAGACCCGTGATAGGATTTCAGCAAAACAGATTTATTTTGGATTTTCATAAAATTATGTGCGAAAGCTAGAAAAACACAAATCTGAGAAAACCATAGCCAGATTCTAGGATTAGATGTAGAAATGAATGTGTTTTAAACATCTTTACAGGCAGTCCCTGGGTTAAGAATGCCTGATTTACTGACATCTTCTACTTACGAAAGGAATGCCATGAAGCCTACATTAAAAATTTGGGTTAAATACAATGGTTCATAAAAACAAACGCACTGTTTTGTGCTGCTTCTGAACACATTGCACAGCTTCAGCGGTTCGTTGGTTTGAGGTACATTAGTACCGTACGTAGCTACTTTTACTATTAGTGCATACTATTAGCAACTTGCCTATTATTATTATTATTATTATTATTCCAACTTACCTATAAATTCAACTTAAAGACAGACTTAGAGAACAGATGTTGTTCCTAACCTAGGGACTGCCTATACTGATATTCAGCGAAGATGCATGTTTTATGATAAAATATTTAATTACAAAACTAGTGATCAACTGATATCAACAAGAAAAATTTGGAAGTTGTTTTAACCGGCAAACATGAGTTTGTAGTGTTGAATCACTGAACATTGTTTTTAAAAGTGTTTATAGACAAACATATGCAAGAACCGTGTTAGCAATGCGAAAACATTAAAGAGCGTATTTGTTATGGTTTAAGTAGGTGGTGGAGAAGTACAACGGCATCAACCAATGAGGCATGATTATTTTAATGAGGCGGTGACCCACCCTGCATTGATGCTGGCATACAGCATCATGTTTAGGGTATATTGTGGAAGGTAGTGGGATGCTGGGATGATATGACGACATTACCATGCTGCACGGTCGTACTCTCCCCAAATGCGCACAAACTCGTCCAGGTGATGTGGACCCAGGATGGAGGAGTCACGGGTCAGGTACTCAAAGTTGTCCATGATCACAGCCACGAAGAGATTCAGCATCTGCAGTGAGAGGTGCCATTACTGATCATGATCTTAGGTGTTTCTCAATATGCATACTTGACAGTACTTGTATTCTTGTTCCAATACTCAAGAACAGAAGTAAAGAGGAGGTAAAACGTAAAAATCCACGGATGTCATTCTTGCCCCGTCCCAAATATCAAGGATACATTGGTTGCATCCTCATCGAATGAGACCAATGCCATGATTCACTGTGCCCCAAGTGCGTTCTTGGAAGGCAAGTTAATAAGAGAGGTCTTGCCAAGACCACAAGTACAATCTTCATTCTTGGTATTGAGAAACACCCCTTCTCTAGTGCACTCTTTTCATTTGCCTGTATGAGCACGCTCACCAGGAACGAGCTGAAGAAGATGAAGGAAACAAAGTAGAAGTAGGCAAATTCTGTGCCGCAACCCGTGTTATGGTCAGGAGCTTCAGATGTGCCAGAAGCATTGAGACTTGACTGAATCGTGCTGTCTGCCTCACATTCTTGACCACCCAAACAGGACAACATGATCTCCTGCCAAGATTCCCCAGTTGCACTCCTGTAAGGAAAGCAACACAACAGCCACAGACACCAACAGAGCCTCCACGTTAAAACCACAAGAATAAATGTGTTCATTGATACATACTCAGGCTAATCCCCCAACCTGAACAACAGCATCAGTGCACCGAAGAAGGTCTTGAAATTGTTGTGCCTGTTGATGGTACGGTCGTCTCTCAGCTTGATGTTTCCAAACACCTTCGGTGACATTTAGAAAGCACTCGAGTGAGCCCGTTGCACAAAGCGTGACATTAGCAGCCATGACTGCAGTAAACTAAAGGAACCTAGGCCAGAGCTCACCTGCATTCCAATAATTGCATATATAAAGAACAGCATGGCAATGAGCAGGCAGACGTAGGGAAGAGCCTGTGACAGGAAGACAAAGATACTGTTTCCAAATCTCCTTTGAGACAATATCATTGAAATGGTTCTTGATGGATGTCTTGTACCACATGTCATTTGGCAGGTTTGGCTGTCAGGCGAGGGCAGCTCACCTTGAACGACTGAACGAACGTCCATAGCAGGATGCGTATGGTGTAGCCCTGTCTCAGTAGCTTGATTAGCCGGGCTGCCCGGAAGAGCTTCAGGAAGCTCATGTTGAACATTTTCAGCGACTCGGGGGTTGATAAAAGGCACAAGACAATTAATTTACCCAAAGAGGTGGCGATCAGACATAGAAAAGCATGCCTGTTAGATGCAATCAAACGCCAGCATCACGATGCAAAGTGCTAAAAACTTACCAGCCAATCAACCACTATTTCCGTAATGCTGCCAAGTACAGTAATAAAGTCAAATATGTTCCATGTGTCTCGAAAGTAATTCTGTAAAAGAGGAGGCAAGCTGTAACTGTGGCAACTGGGGTGATTGACAGTATGAATTTCTCGATGAGGCAGACAAAGGGAGCGGCTCTTTTTTCTGTATTCCTCGTTGAGGATCCAACTGTTCGCAGCAGCATTACCACAAAGCCAAAGGCCAGAATCTTCAGGATGCACTCCAGGGAGAAGAGCATAGTGAAGGCTGTGTTGAGGTGCTTCAGCGCAGCTTCGTAATTCGTCGGTGCCAAATAGTACTGCAGGCAAGAAGTGGAAGGAAGTGAGGGAGCAAGAAGGTTAAGAGTCACACAACCTCCGCCTGAAACAAATCAGCAGCATAAAGTATTGCAAACGGTAACTAGGATACTGGGGACACCTTTGGGGCCATCTGAGAGGGACATTCACCCTTTTAGTGTGATTTATGGCTCTGTGTAACGCCAAGGGTCCCATGTGCGCTGAGCCAAACTGGCCTATAAGCATGAACTAGCACAGAAGGCATCCCCTCACATTAACGGCAGGGAGAATTTAGGCTGTATCTGCCACACCGTCAGAGGTGTAAGTCTTCTGTGAGATGCAAGGAGAATTAATGAGGGCAGGTGAAATATCAGACAGGGGGTTCAGATCATTATTTAATAGGCACTGACTCATGGTGTCTGACCAGACTGTCTGACTCAGTGTCATTTCCAGGAATGATTGCTTGCAGGAGAGCGAGCGAGAGAGAGAGAGAAAGAGAGGGAATGAGAGTAAGAGGGCAGGAGGGAGAGAGAAGGGGAAAAGCTGCAACTGGAGACTGGAATAACTTTGCATTTAACTGATCTTCCCGGTGTGGGACACACCTTCAAACTATATAGACTACAGTATGTATTAGCAAAGGTAAGCAAAATTGTGGGAATGGCTTCCATGTTGCACTGTTACAAGGACAAATAGAGTGAGTGAGAGAAAGGTAACTAGAATATTCTTACCTTCATCATCAGGACGACCGTGTTGAGAGCGATCATGGTCAGCACGGTGTACTCAAAAGACGGGGAGACTACAAAGTGCCACAGTCTGTACTGGAAACTATGCCTGTTCTGAGGCATATAGCGAGTCAGCGGCTTGGCACTAATGGCGAAGTCTATGCAAGCCCTCTGAGAACGACAGAGAGAAGGAAACAAGCGGAAAGACAAGCCTTTAGCTGGAACAGAACAACTCAAATGGCCTGTATCTGACTGTCATGTGAATGCATCTGTTCTCGGAAATGGCACGCATGCACACATTGATGCATCTGTGTCACCAACAACAAAAAAAACCACACAAATGCCAATCTGACCATCCTCATTCATGTCGCATGGATGTCAATTGGATACGCAGCCGATCTAGGATCACATATAAAAGTCATAGGAAACTGAGAAACACCCCTTGGAAAAGATCGGATTTTTGTATCCACATTAAGGTAAAAAATCAGATTCAAGTCACTTCAGCCTGGTAATGCGAATGTAGCCTTAGACCATGTTCGTCATAGACTGGCTGAGGGAAACTCTTTGTAGTTTCAATGGTACTTCTCCAAACTATGTCATTGTGACTTAACAACATGCCAAAGAGTGGTTCACACTGTGATGTAAAAGTGCGGAATCAGAAACATCTCGCTCACATGTGTGCTTCTGTCTGTGGGAGGCGGGTGGCCTATGAGAGGATCTTTGAAACTCCTGGGAGACGGTCAATATTTAAGGAGGGACACTTCCTGGAGGGAAGCCCTGTGATCCCAATGAGTTTCCATGGGCCTCCACATCTGAACATTGGAGGAGTTCAACTTCAAGCCACTGGTGGCATTTTTATGTAAGTATAACATTCCACCAGCAAACCATAAACATACACAAACACACTATGATGTGCCGTGGATTATACTTTTAAAGCCTCCTTTCAAAAATGTTTATTCTCTGTGTTGTACGATTCTGTCAATGTCCAACTATCCATCCATTTTCTGGAACCACTTGTCCTGTTCAGAGTTGTGTGGCGTCTGGAGCCTGTGAGCACAAGGCAGAAAACAACCCAGAATGGGATGCCAACCCATTGCAGGGCGCAGTCACACACCTATGGGAAATTTGGTATCTCCAATTAACCTCATTGTTTTTGGACTGTGGGGGGAAACCGGAGTACCCAGAGGAAATGCCATGACGGAACAGGGAGACTGTAACCCAGGTCTCAGGGGTGTGAGACAACAGTGCCAACCACTGCATCACCATGCTGACCCATTTGTCAATTTTCCAAAATTTCCAAAATAAAAACAGGTCTTTACATTGCACCAAGGAGACTGCCTCTGTTTGGTTAAAGACACTGCTGACATAAACAAAAGGCAGGACACATGCTGAAGTTCAATTTTTATTGCAATATAAAGCATTGCTTGCTTTTATGATCCTTTTCTACTTTGTGGTTTTTAAGGGATTCCTGGTATGTGGTATAGGTGCGCATATATAGAAGGCGTTTAGTAAACACATATATTATTAATTTATATATTAAAGATGCTCCGATCAATAGGCCATCAATCATTATCGGGCGATATTCCTTTTAAATAATTTGATTGGCGCTGTATATAAAGGCCGATCAGAAGCGCCGATCAGATGACGCGATATAAGTGGCTAAAATGGCATCACCAGTCTTCCTATCTAAACGGGGACCATCCATTCATTTCTATGAGGAAAAACCCTAAACCCAATAACGACACCCTAACCCCTACCCATCCCTAACCTTAACCGTAGGTAACCAACCAAAATACAAGACTTTTGGCATTTTTTACTTTTTTTGATTGCATTCACAGATCTTTTTGGGGTCCTTAAAAATGGTCCCCACAACATCAAAAAAACAGGTTTTTATTATATTGTGGNCCCTTAACCTCTACCCATCCCTGACCTTAACCATAAGCAACCAACCCAAATACAACACTTTTGGCATTTTTACTTTTTTGATTGCATTCACAGACTTTTATGAAACTGAGGTTATCCAAATGGGGACCTCAAAAGATGTCCCCAAAAGTAGGGAAATTTCAGGTTTTACTACACTTTGGGAACAATTTGGTCCTCAAATGTGATCTATGCAAGCCCACACACACACACACACACACATATACATATAGTGTATATACTGCATATATAAAATGTGCAGAAACAATCACCTCATTCTTCTCTAAACTGCACTCCTCCATCATCTTGTCCCCTTGCTCTTGGAAGGTGATTATGATGAGGGCCACAAAGATGTTGACGAAGAAGAATGGGAAGACCACAAAATAGATGACGTAGAAGATGGACATTTCCATGCGATTTCCCCGGCTGGGACCCCGGTCTTCCTCCGTCACATCTATAGAGTGCTGCAGGACCCTGTATCAGACGCGAGGTAGGAAACCACCTTTAACAAGTCAAACTGCAACATGAGATGGGTCATGACTAGAGTTTTGTGCACCTTGCTCTTCATACAAAATGATGGAGTCACTCACTGCGGCCAGCCTTCCCCAGTTGACACGGTAAACAGGGTGAGAAGGGCCCAGATGATGTTGTCATAGTGGAAATCATGTCTTTTCCATTCCCTTTCCTTTACCTGCTTCTTATCCTTCTCATAGTCAATATAGAAGCCCCTGTATGACACACAATGACAATGACTTGGATGAGGCATTTGACAGAACTCAAAAAGGACACAGTAATACAGGAAAAGAGGCGTCCCTACAAAGCATGCAAACAGACCTCAAACTGATGGAACACGTCTGGGACAAAAAAGAAAGGAGACCTCTTAAATCATGGAGCCTATTGATGCATTAAAGAAGATGAGTACAAGACCACCCAGTTGGTATTCAGGAATGAGTATAATTTCTTTCACGATGCTTTGTGGCCAAAGGCAGGCTAACACAATGTTCAATCACTTTTGATTCATGAAACGTATGAATAGGACAGTAGAGTCCTAAAGGATGTTGCACCATGTGTTTGAAAGCAGGACATTTGGATGGATGTGATAAAAGACTCAGCAGGCACCTACTGGCAGTCTTTCTGTGTGTCCTTAGACCCATCTGTGCAATAGAAGAACTTCCCCTTGAAAAGCTGCACTGCAATGACGGCAAAGATGAACATGAAGAGCTTGTAGACAATGAGGATGTTGAAGACGTTCTTGAGGGAGTTCACCACACAGTCAAACACTGCCTACAAAGGAAGCCAAGGAGAGAATACAGATACAATGGGAAATAGGTGGAGAAAATGCAGTCAACTGGGAACATGGATATTATCTTACATACTGAATGTGAAGGCAATTTACATCGCAGTTTTACCACTGTAATAAGGCCATTAGGTCAGAGTTCCATTGAAACCCAGACATTCCGGATGTAAAGGTCTAGGCTCTTATCATAAGTGATTCATTCTTAAATCAAACCACTCCTCTCTAAGAGGAAGTAATTATATATTTAAAAAACACCGTAATGAAAACCTTCCTAAATCAGCAACTGGCCAATAATTCTTTCTCTCTTTTTTTACCAGCCCCTGCAGCAAAAACGAGCAATTTTTCCAACTCATGATACTGTACTAATATCAGCTGAACTTTGTTCAATTAGTAAGTCATCCTTCTCTTCATTTCCTCTATATTCAATAGAGCCTGCTTTGCCCTGAGAGGAAAGGGATGGGTAAGTTTGGGGAAACTGAGGCCAATTAAACCTTCTTTGGTTGCTCCAATTTATTACACTGTCAGTCTCTTTTTAGTTTTCTAGTTGATTATACAGCCCCCATATGGAGAAGATAGAAAGCTTCTTTATTTAAAAACAATATAAATTTATGAAGCAGTGCACTCACTTTCCCCACATTTATACCTACAGGGCCATTGTAGTCTGCCTCAATTGCTAAATATTGTTCCCTGTCATTTCTGCAGCAACCTTCCAGACGGTGAACATTTCCCATATCAGCTGAGGTCAAGAATCACTGAGGATCGTATCTCAAAGGTGCCAAATGGATTATTACATATCCTCTTTGCTGCAGCGAAGGTGCTTATCTGCCCAGTGTTAGGGAGGTCCCATGTGGACTGCACCTGACCATTAAAACCCATAAAGAAGACATGCTCAAAAAGTACCTTGAGGACACATGGTCCAGCTTGGCCTTTAGTTTTTTGGATGGTAAGGTGAAGCTTTAGATTCCAAATCTAGTGGATGGTTTTGCAGGAAACACTAATTACCTGCTGGTTTTGGCCACATTGGTCACACTAATCACCCAGTGTTTGCATGCAGACTGCATCTCTGTGATGTCTCCAGAACAGGGAAGATATTTACTAAGGCATTTATAAATTATTTAATAGTTTCAGTTTCAGGGAATGGCATGGTGCTAAAATGGGTAAGACATGAAATGAAATTAGGTAAACTGGCATTTCTGTAGTGTGTGTGTGTGTGTGTGTGTGTAGTCCAGTTTCCTAGTCCCCATATGGGAAAACTCTATTTTATAAAAATCTGTGACTGCAGTGAAAAAACTAAGAATGCTAAACTGCAATATTTTGTTTGGTTACTTATGGTTATGGCTAGGGCTGGGTAGGGGTTAAGGCTGTCATAGTTAGCATTAGCATGTGTGTGTGTGTGTGAGTGTGCCCTGTGATAAAATGGCATCATATCCAAAATGTTACCCTGCCTTGTCCTCTATTAGACCTGGGATAAGTTCCATGGCCAACCCAAAATGTATTTTGTCCTAAAATACTCATTTTCTAAATGATTAGCATTTATTTGAATGGACACCAGACAAGCCATTAGTCAGATGTACCACAATACCCATTACATAGCCATCGTCTTTAGAATGACATTAATATTCGGATTTATTCAATTAAACGATCGGTACCACTTTACCCGAAAGGGGTACATGTAAATTAATGAACAAATATAACAACTGAATGAAATACATGAACCGTTATGACTGATTAATGACGATTGAATATAAATCAATACATAACTAACACTAAGTTTCTTAATACATTAAGTAAGAGTGTACTACTGCATTATTTGTGTCATCTCAAGTAAAGTGCTACCAAAAGATCTGATGGAGTAACCACTGCAAATATATGAATGCAACTGTCTTTGTTTTAGCTTGCTCTGAATTTTGCTATTGTTAATGACATGTATATTACCATACCTAGTGAATCATAATCCTTTAACCTTTCATTCACACCGTCATTTCATTCCTCAACACGATTCAGAAGCCGTCCAGCCTTCCAGCTTGACTGTGTTGCCTGTAAGCTACGCCTACCTACTTGAGCACTTTGGGAAAAAACAATTGGTCCCTTGGGCTTTGAATTTGTGAGATGAGGGGGTGTTTTTTTGTTTGCTGTTGTGGAGGTGTGAGCTTTGTCTCTAAACATGGAGCTGGGCAGAATGAGGCTGCTACTTTTGCATGGGGTTTTATGCATCTTGAAGGCCTACAGAATGAGAGGTGATGTGTTTTAAAGCTGTAATCCACCCAGACTAGGCAGAGGCAAGTGGTGATCCTCAGCACCCATTACTATTCCAGTGGAACTCATCCTGATGGTCCATCACAGTATGGCAGGAAGGGGCAAAGACTAGTGTCTTCAAATCAATAACTTTTTGTAAATGAAATCCTTTGAAGCTGATAAAACCATATTTGTTTGACTTTACATATTGTATGTCATCATGTTACTGATTAATGTTTCTAGGAGCCTGGTCCATACATTAGCACCGTACCTTAAGTTTGGGAAGTCGCTTTATGGTCTTTAGAGGCCGGAGGACACGGAGGACACGAAGAGACTTTATAGTCTTGATGTCCCGACCTTTGCTATTCCTGCAGACATTGATACACAATCAAGTAGATCCACCTTTTGCGTGAGAAAATATTTAAACCCATCCATTACATGGATGTGCATCTCTATTTCTATGGCAATGCAATAAACACCTCAATACACTGCTAATGGTACAACACATTAAAGATTCAAGTTAAGCAATTACAATTGCAATACAATGCGATTCACCCCTATTGCAATGCAGTGTAATGCAACACTGTGGTTGGTATAATGACCCCCAGAAACATTAATAACACAATAATACAAAATTAATAAAGAAAAATGATTTCACTCACTATTCTACATTAATACATCGGATTTTACTGCTGCAAAGACATTACAAACGATGCATCCCAAGTTCATCCCATATTGTATCAAGTATACACTTTTTTAATCGGGGCAGTCGCATCGTAAACTTTTATGCCGGTGCACCGATGCGAATCGGTGAATCTTACCATCCCTACTTTGCTAAGCTATGGTCATCAAGATTAGAAATACACAGTAATCCAGAAATAACCATTGAAGATAAATCAACAAAAGTTTTGAGAAAGCCTTGCTATGATTGCCGATTTTCAGGGAAAAAAAACAGGTTATGTCAAGTTAAAAAGTTAAAAAGAAATGACAATAAGAAATGGAAAATGTTTTACCCAATCACGTTCCTGGAAGGTACGCAGCAATAAAATCAGAAAGAATAAGAAACAGATAAAACGTAAGCAGTTATTCACAGACCAGAGCTCAATTATGAACTGCACTATAAGAGTTCAGCTTCATCATGACTTTCTGTAGCTTATGCAGTGTCTGTAGCATTAGCAGGGCTTCCACGTGCACCTCAGTCATTCAGAATCCCCTCAGACTGCTTGCTGGATGCATGCACATCAGTTGCAATGTGCAATGCACATTGGTTCCACATTGAGGCAATGACATTCCGGAAAGTCGGGGGACTCACGTTAGAGCAAAAGCAATCAGAGCTCCGACCACCACAATGAAGTCCAGGATGTTCCACAAATCACGGAAGTAGGAGCCTTCATGTAGGATCAAGCCTTGGTCGATCATCTGTGGACATGGAATGCAGGCTTACATTAGCTAACATTCAGCCTGTAACTGCATCCCAGCCAATGATAATAACACCAGGTTCCGCTGGGTGGTACTTAGGACGTCTTTGAGTGACATAAAAAATAGGTTCAACAGATCAACTAGAATCTGGGTGCTGTCTGGAAATCATGACCGACACCTAAAATATTAATCGAAAGAAAGGAAGTTTGTGATAAATAACTATATATGGTGCATATTGAACTTTCATTAAAAATTAAAAACAGCTGATTTTGTTACACAGAAATCATTTCAAATATATTTGAATATTTTAAATTAAACTCAAGTAGGTCATTAAAAATATCCACTTCCTCTGGAAATCAGCACATACACTTTTAAGAAAAAAAATATCTGTATATTTGAATCACCCACCTTAATTATCATCTCAAAGGTGAAGACCCCAGTAAAAACATAGTCAAAGTAGCGCAAGACCTGCAAAATGCAAAGGGGAAGCAGTCATTCAGTCATGCATCTGGAGCAACAGGGACATGTTGCACTAAATTTGAGAAAGTTCAGATGAACTCTGCAAAGCAGTGCAATGGTTTTCACTGAGTCCTCCCAAGTTCTTCAGTTACTGCTTATAAAACCAGTCCTAATAAAGGCCTTTGCAAACCAGGTCTGAATTTTATGTGTGTTTTTTAATTTGTCATCTGATAAAAATCATTACGCACAGAAACCTAGTCCGACTCGTTTTACTATTATATAATTGTGAAAATTCACAATACAAGACAAAATGGAGTTGTCAAGCAGTGAGGATGATTCTGTGGTTGTCTCACTTCTCATGAGTTGGAATAAAATAAAGAAAATACTGGATCTATCAATTTCAACTGCTGATACGGGAACTGCGGAATTATCTCCATTGTCTCACAGTGTAATTTAGAATGTCAGTGGTCCAGTTTGATAAGCTGCTAACAATACTGGGATCATTCCAATGTCCGTGACCCAGCTGGTCCTGACCAGCAGCAGGCGGTATGTTTAAGGTAGACACACACACACACACACAAGTTTAATGGCCAATCCAAATTGTGCCATTGGAAAGTACACTCAAGGTGATCGGCAGATATTCAAAAAAATTAATGACGGACGAAAGGTGTAAATTTGGTGTGTTAACGTGATTGACAAAATGTGAGGTATTTATTTTTAAACATGTGACAATTTTGGACAAAGAATACAGACTTGAAATGGCCTTAAATCAAGTGTTTGCATGTTTTTGTTGCAAAAAGCAGTCGATCTCCGTGTAAAATTCACTTTTGCTGCAGCCCTGAACAGCATAAGTGGGTGGAACGCAAATGGATGGATTCACTGTGGAGAACTTTCAGTATGTACTCCTCACAAATGTAGGAACAAGACACTTCAGTTCCTGTCTGAAAAGCTGGAATTGGCTACTGGCGTCTTCTGTTATTTAACTGTTTCCATGGCAACGGCAAGTATCCATTTCAGCACCACAATCGTCATCTTCAATGCTAATGACGATTACGGTAATACCCATTCCATTCGTGTCTTACACTAATTGTCTGTCACTGTTCGTCTTCATTTTTTGCCCCTCCCACCCCCGCATCTGCTTTCTTATAGCAGGTGTTCAGCTTTTCTCTAGTTTTCCTCCTCGTAATTTCAGTTATCCTGTTGAGAGTCTCCCATTAAGTCCTGATAGGGGCCTTTAACAAAGCCCATTAACTCAACTGTTATCATGGCTGAGTTGATTTGAGCAGAAATTTCAAAACTTGCGGTAATTTGATTTCATCCTGCAGTGGAGGGGGTATGTTTCTGTAATACCTTAAAAATGATTATCACCATTAAAAAGAGTATAAACCATTTGCATTAGGCCATAACTGCATATCTCCTTGGTTTTTAGTGAGGGAAACAAGACAGCATCCTCGAGCAATGACAGCTCTTCAGAAACAGAGACGGTTGCACAGATAGCCGAGGCACGTCCTGTATGAAAATGCTGGGGTGAGTGCTGGCTGGCTGGCTGGCTGGGGCGCTCACCTTGTTCCAGTCGGAGTTGGTGTGCACGGGGTCTTCGGCAGCCAGGGCGATGCTGCTGGCCGCGATCACCGCCAGGATGCACATCTCAAAATAGCGCAGGTTCACCACGTAGTGACATGCTGTCCGAACTCTAGGGGCGTGAAAGAGAGGAATAGAAACTGGCCAGCGGCTCAGAGAGGCGCTGGCTGATTCAAGATCCCTAATAGCTTCTGCTATGGGACCAGTGAGCAACTCACTTGACCCAAATTGGTTCCAAGAGACGGTAAAACTAAATGTGAAGCAGTTTCCTTGCATGAAAGCATCTGCCAAGAAACCGAGATAAAATGAAGCCAATCAAGCCGGAACGCACTGGCTCTCACTGTGAGAATGTGGTCGGGCATGTGGCTGTGTATGGCCAGCTGGGTGTGTGATGTGTGCAGAGCCTGTGGGGTGATTCTCCGCAGAATGGACCCAGATCGTCTACGAATGCGACCTTACGGGTTATCGGGTTTAAAGATGAACATGCTGTTGGGTGGGGCAGACTTGGGCGGGCTGGAGCCCTCCTCGTCCTCCTTCTCAGATTTGGCAGTCTCCACATCTTTACTGTTCACTGCAAAACACAAGGAAGGTTCATGAATTGCCTTGTCCAATTCATGCAGTGTGCAGTGTCGCCTATCTGACACAGGGATAGGCAGTATTCTTGAAATTCGGATATTCTTAAGGGCCCATGCAAAAGTTAATTACAGATCTTTTTTCAGTGCTTAAATAAAAAATGCTTTGATGTTTACCTGCTGCTACACTGCACCCTGCCTCACACCAGTGCACAGGCTCTACAGGACTGATGGTTCTCACTTCTCAAAGCAAACCGCCCCTGACTGGCGACGGTCGGAAATAACTCGGCCGTCGTTTCGCGATATCCCATAAAACACCAACCGAGCCAAGACGAGAAAATCTGGGCGTATGTGTGACATATATCACTGCCATCCAAAGACTGTCTGACCGCATGTGCTCCATGAATAGAGGCCCTGTCCTCCCTGAAGATGCTCTGAGGCGAATAAAAACACTGTTATCTGCAAGGCGCGTCGCTAAAAGCCATTCGCTATCGTTTACCATTAACCTACTATGAAAAATGCTAATAAAATCATACGAAAAGGGAACTCGGCAGCAAGCAACTCATTTATTTACAAAATACTCCCATTTCAGGCTTAGAGGGGGATGGGGCAGGTTCCTGCTAATATGAATGAATCTGAAACAAGACAGCTTGGTTCACAAACAATGAAGGAAAACAACAAATAAATAGAGACTGATACATTGTAGCAGAGGGGAAATGAACTAGTAGAGAGAGATTACTGGGCTTGGGGCTGGCGTCACTGGTTCCTAGGTTACACAGGGCCAAACGAAACAGAAAATGCCAGCGTAAAGAGGGACAGGTGGAACCAATCGATACAATTAAAGAGCTGGAGACCCTGCCCCTCTGCTCAGGGAAGGATCCCAAAGCGCTCCTGGGAAAAAACACCTTCCAAGCATGCAGGATGAGGGGGATTCATTCACCGCCAGCCCAGGGATGCAGGTCTGCGTGGCTCCTTAGGCCTCCTTGTCAGGAACAAGAGTGGGATCGTTCATCCCACCAGAAAACACCACACTCCAAAGCAGCCACAAATTTGTACTGTCAGCTGTCAGGGGCAGGTTCAGTTGTATTGTTTTACAATAAAAATATCCCATCCATCCATTTTCTGAAACTGCTTGTCCTATTCAGGGTTGCCAGGGTTCGGAGCCTATCCCGGGGGCTTTGGGCACAAGGCAGGGAACAACAAAGGATGGGCGCCAACCAATCGCAGGGCACACTCACACACCGGCCACACCTATGGGCAATTTGGTAACTCTAATTCACCTTAGCATGTTCTTGGACTGCGGGGAAGAAAAACTGGAGTACGCGGTAGAAACCCGGCGACAACATGGGGAGAACATGCAAACTCCACACACATGGAGCCACACCAGACACCTGAACCCAGGTCCCAGAACTGTATGCCAGCAGTGCTAACCACTGCACCACCATGCCACCCAATTAAAAAGGCAAAACATAATTAATCAAAAATATCATTACTCTTAACACCCTTCAAATTATAGGTGTTTTTGGTTCCAATATTTTGTCATTATTTCTATTTTAGAGTACATTAATCTCTGAAGTAGTTTTAATGTTTGCATCATTAACAGATACATGCTGATATTTTTTTAATCTATGCCTACCTTTCATCCTCTGTGGCTTTAATATACCAGAAATTAATGTGAATAAATGAGTTATAAATACTAAAACTCCTGGGATTAGCGTAGCGACCACTGTGGATCTCATCCAGTGAAACACACTTACTGATATCTGAACACCAGCTGGTTTGCTTATCAATACTACTGGCTTTTGGGTATGTGGGAGCTAAAGCCACAACTCTGATACAGGATCCATGATCTTCAAAACACTGCCACACAACACCATGAAATTTCTCACTAATGAGTGGCGCTGGTAACATACTACTGACTCAAGAAAAAATATTATATCTGACTGCTGTGAACCCTGGCCAAACGTTGCCTTTATACACCATAAGGACAATGAAAAATCACACTCACTTCAACCTAAAGCCAGCTGCTGACCTACAGTACATCCTGAACATGATCATTTTCACGGGTGAGTAGTGCAGTCCCTGTTTGATGCTGTAATTGTGACCAGTGTTTCTGCAGGCCGCTGTGTAGCGGCCATAAATCGATAACTCAAAGCGTGCCCCTACCCTTGTGCCCAGACGGACCCCCAGTATCCACACCACAGAGCCGGGGAGGGGAAGTGGGCTGTCCCCATACCTGCGATAGGGGTCAGCTCCAGGGCTGGCTGAACGTCGGTCACCTCGATCACCACGCTCGTGTTCAGTGGTGACTTCTCCTGGTTCAGGCTGTTCTCAGCTTCAGCTTGGCCCTCCTTCTTGACAGTATCCCTGGGGATCTGCAGGTCCGTGTGCCCTGTGGCCAGGTCCCTAGCTGCTTCGCCATTGTGACCCGGGGAGTTGTTCAGGTTGGGCTTGGGTTTGAGGGAATCACGGCAACCTGGGGACTCCAGACTATTCAATCTGGACACAAAAAGATGAGCACTTTTCTATACTAAGACAGAAAAGACAGTTATGCATTTCTGAATGTGGCATGGAAGATCGAAAGCATCGATCCATCCATCTTCATAGACAGATGTACTAGTGAGGGTCACGATGAGATATGAAAGCATTTTTTATATATAATTTAAATAACGGCATATATATGCAAGACACAAAAACACATACTTTTTGTCTACAAATGTCATGTAATATCCCAATGCAGTAGCTGTAAGACGTTTTAGGAGATTTACAAAAAAAAAAATAATAAGGAAGAAATAGGATCTGATGTCCTCCAGAAAATGTGAATTGCCTTGTTCAGTGCCATCAAGTGGACAGTGGAGCTCACTGCTTAAATCAGTAATAAACCACATTTCATTTTCATTTCAGAATGAACTTTGCAGCTGAATAAAAAGGTAGTGTGTACTCCCCCTGGAAAGACACTCTACTGAAGATGTGTCACTAAGGTCAGCCTTTTTAAAAAATACTAATCGGTGCATTTCTGTGTTCAGGCAACCCTGACCAGGGTAAGTGGCTAGATGATGGATGGATGGACATTTTAGTGTCATCGCTTGGTGAGGTTAGGGTTCCTGAAGGTGCCCCGGCCTCTTCTTGCAGGTTATATTAAAGCACAGATCTGGAAATGTGCTTCTTGTCCCGTTACTTTTGGGATTTGAACCCATGTCCCTCCGCACCTCTTACCCATTTTCAGACTCTCCTCTTTCTTGCTGCCTGGTGCCCCCATCACTGGCCGCTTTCCAGTCCTCCTCTTCCGTGTCGCCAGCATCGCTCCGTTCCTCGCTGTGGGGAGAGGGCTTCTCGGTGCCAGCTTGTGCCTCCCGGTGCCGGTGCCTCCTGGGGCGGACGCACGAGTCCGGGGACAGCGTGTCCCCTAGGGGGGGTCGAATCTTGCGGGCCACTCGCTGCCTCCTCTCGCCATTCAGCCGGGGGCTCCGGTGAACGTCCAGCGGTGCGTGGCAGTGATTCCCCACCTTCCCGTCCGGCGCCGGCAGCTGTGCCAAGTCCGACTCCGCGGGCACGGGAAGGGTGACTTCCACAGGCAGGGGTGAGTCCGGCAACAGCATGGTCACGGCAGTCGGGTCCTCGGTTGAGGGCACGTCGCTGGGCATGGGGGGCTCGGGCCCCTTCAGCGCCACGGACCTGGGGGGCTCCTGAGAGCCATGCAGGCTGCCCATGGGTGTGGGGTTATTGTGATGGGGGCAGCCCGGGGACGTGTCCTGGTCCTCTTTGGGGGTGCCGTAGAGCACCTCTCGATTCGACATCTGCCGATGCCTCCGTAGCTGGCTGGTCCTCTGTTCCCACACGGACATGGTCATGCGCCTTCTCCTCTCCCTCCTGGACATGAAAGAGTTAGAGGCATTGAAGGACTGGCCCCGGGGGCCACGCGACAGGCTCTCCGCCGCGGCCTCCATAACGTAGGCCGGCCTGCTCCTGTGTATGGCTCGCTTTCTGTACAGATAGGGCCTCCTCCTGCTGCTGAAAGAGAAGGACAAACACAGCATCAGTCCTGTGCCGCACGGGCCGTCACACATCATCACTTTAAAAAGGTCAACGGCACAGCATCCTCTTAATGCATTTCCTAATGCCTTCCTCCTCAAACTGCGACCCACCCCTGTATAAGCGTTTCAGCATTTAGCATTTATAGGAAATTTTCGCAGCGGGCCGCGTGCAGGAAATGCCCTCCTCAATTTGAATCGACTCGAAAAAACAACCCAAAACAACCTAAGGCCTGGTGGCATTTCATGAAAGTTGCCATCTGTAGCAGTAACGTTAAAGCTATTCATTATGCTGTAATAACAATAAAACGAGGTGTAGAGGACAGGAGGTCTACATCTCATAAAAAACAAAAACAAATGGTAACAGCAGGCAGCAGAGTAAAACAGTTACAGGATTTAAACGAGATTCAGGCAAGATGTTTCAGAAAAGAAGTGAACAGACAGCATTACTTACTCACTCACACCCGTACTCTTGTTCAGTCCGTGTAATCAATGAGCGATTGGTTGAAAACAAGACATTAGTGTTTTGGTGAACAAACACAGAACAATCCCAGTGACACAGTCCATAACAAGGTGAAAATTAGGTAAAACTGAAAAAAACAGAAAGAAATTAGATTCTGACAAGGTTAGCACAGTAAAATTTAAATTGTTCAGATATTTGCATGTAAAGTAATATATCAATGGATAAAAATATATCTAAGCCTTTGTTTCTTGGGAATCGTTTATACATGTAAAACATGTAAAAAGTAAATTTGTTATCTTATTATTATTTAACAGAAATGATTCTTTTTAGAAAGAAGTTTTGGTCTATGTCACTTGGCGGGCAAAGTCACATGACAACAAGATGGTAGCAGTATTAGATCAGAACAACATCAACAGAAGCAACACATACAGTATTCAGATAGTTTTGAAATGTTAAGACTCTCAGGAATATGGCACAGGAATAAAACATAGAAATGAATTTCACAACCTAACGCACAACTTAGGACCCCCAGGAACGAATAGTGAATCGTGTCTGACCCCCCCCCCCCCAATTCTGTCTTCCTGACTCCAACATTCAACGTGGACTGGAGGCCATGCTCAGCAGAGCCATGCGCTGGTTTCTCATCTCCATGTTGCCCACTGCATGCAGTGGACTAAACCCAACCTGGCTTGGTGCCTGATCTCTGAGATCAAAGCTGCCTTTCCGCTATGGTGCCTGAAGCTACGTGACAAGCAAAGTTAAAGTAAGTGGCTGGGAATATCATGCTACCGGAGTTAGCCAGTGAGAATATGCAAGTTTATTGTTTTTTATAGCTGATAACTGGCCATCGTGGTTTCATGGTTAGCATGTGCGCCTCATGTCTCTGTGACGGTTCCCTTCCTGCCGCCTGCTCAATGTGTATCATTTCCGTGGTCCTGCAGCTTCTATCCTGATACTCTGAATTCCTCCCATGCTTCAAATAGGTTAGGTGAAGTGATTGTGAGTGTGGCTTCTGTGACTAGCCTGTGACTAGCATCCCATCCATGACCTGATCATTTATCTGGGAGCCCAAGGCTGACGTCAGCATGGTGTGTCCAGGACGTGGCCCCGATGTTCACCGGACCATAAGCTACAGCCTAGGATAGCTTATACAGTATGGTGTACATAGTGTGTCTGATGTTCTCCCAGTGTATCTGAAACATGAAACCCTCCTGCATCATACCAACCTGGTGCCATCTGGTCTGCTCACTCTCTCACATCATCGCTTCTGACATGCAAGGACCATGCAGTTGTTGACGTCTGTGTATTTATAAAGTATGCGACATGCATAATACCTGACCCTGGGAGACGTTCCAAGACTGCCATTTTGTCCTTAACTTGGGCTAGTCGATCTAAGCACAGAAATCTTAATTTGATGTATCTACCAAATCGTGAGCTTGGGACTCATGGCGTAATGCCAAGTTGTGAGTGGCAGCTAAGGGCAAAGGGCATGGCAGCTGGACCAGATGACCTCCCGGGCTCCTGCATGCATGGGCGTGCTGTTCCATGCTCATACACAATCAGGTTACAGCTTATACTTTGGTGCCATAGGAAATATAGTGAAGACTTCCTGCTGTACTTTGCTTTGATAAACTATTTCAAGGTTTAGTTTTTAGTCATAGGTCAATAAATAGAAAATGAGCTACTGCCACACACTCACATTCCTCTACCTTTTTTTAATCTTTGAGTGACTCTTAAGTACCATTTAAGATTCGGCAAGTGAAATTTGGCTGGTTTGATGTGTATCTTAGATGTACCAATCTTTAAAATAAATTCCACACCTCGGACATACATCTACAGAAAAATATTCCCTTTGTTGAAAAGGAAACACACTGCTCGCATTAAATTTGGATGATGTATATTCCTAAATCAGTGGGATTGCAGTAGAGATGCAGAGTGGACTGCTGTTCATAGATCCATAAATATTTGCTGTTCTATACTTAATTGCCTGCTTAGCAGGGCTAGTAAAACTAGTAATATATTTTACTAAACATGAATACTAAAATAAATAGAAAAAACTGTAAATACTAGTATTAATCATTTTGTACTGTTTCTTTCTATCTATAAACAAGAGATTTCATGAAACCTTGTTAGCCAATCAGTGGGGCTATAATGGAATAACTGTTTGTATGTATTTGTCTTCCCGACTAGGATAACCAGTTAGAAGTGAAATGGATGGAAATATGCTATAAATGTCTGACCACATGACAGCAAACCATAAACAAAATACAATTAAAATGCTACACTGTTACACATATAACAGCTGAACTTAGCGACTAAGGCTTCCACACAGCCTCCACTGCTTATCGCAGTCGATCCCACTTTAAAGGTTCACCATTTGGTCGCCTATAAACCCGTCTCTATGACAACAGTTGAGCCCCTCCTCTGCAGTTACTGGGAAGCCTGCCAGTAGCTATGGTGACCCACTGGTCAATTTATAGCACCTCAGAGTAACCGAAGCAAGTCGAAGGGGAAATAATGGGACCTCAGGAAAAAGACCTAGATCCAAGATTTTGAGACAGTGCCATCTGATCCAATAACTTTCTCACTGTCCCGTGGGCCTTGTTTAACACAATGCAGCATGTTTATTGATCTGTGTCAAACACTGTGCAAAACAGAGAAGGAAAATATTCATTAAACTGCTCCTGTCACCTCAGTGTCTGAGTTAACCTCTATCCTAAAGGAATAGCCTAATACGCTAATACCTAAAACCCATATGATCCCAATATCTCAGAAAGAAGCATGAATGTGCCTCTGTTCGCCATTTAACACTCATCGCGGTGTTAGGGTTGTGCAGCACGTTAGCTGAAGTGGTCCATTTTGCCAAAGGCATGATGGGAAAATGCAAAGTCCTGCCCATTGTTTAAAACACTAATGCAGACGCTATTTGTCATAAAATAGAATGTGTAAAGGATAAACTGCTCTGTGAAATAGGTTACGCTGTAAGGTCCATGTCGGGAATGTGTCCCTATTACACAGCATCGTTATGGCGTGCGCCATTACCGTTACTGCATTTTTAATACACTATGCTTTCGCAGAAACAGAATAATTTACCTGGCAGTGATGAATTACATAACCAAATGTATAAGGAGAGAATGATGGCTTTTAAGTCTAAAAAACAGCAAAGCCAGCCTCTACAGACAATACGTGTTCTGAGCCTTTTCTGCTTCAGTAGGCAGGGGATCTTCCGTTTATTTTTATTATTAAAGGCAATATTGTGCCAAATTGTGCGTCAGACATTGTGTGTGTGTGGTGGTGGGGGGGGGGGTGGTTGGGGGTGCTGCCTCGTTTAATTAATGTGAATGTTTTATGAAAACTCAAATAAGGGCTCCTCCAACATTACCATCCAAGCTGTAGAATCGGTCCAGGCTAACATGTTTGGCTGTTAGTACTGTTAGTGCAGGGGATAGGGGGGTTACAGGCAGGTGGGGGAATGGGGGGGGGGGGGGCACAGACCACTTACTCTGATGACATGAAGGAGGACATGGGGCCGACCTCCTTCGCTTTCTGTAGGGCGTGTTTTTGATTAAAGGCCTCTTCCTCCTCCTCTTCATCCTGACAAAAGACATTCATTTTGTCACCTCTAATAGCCTCTGATTCACTTCATTTTAACACATCACCAGACGCCCAGTCCCACATGGCATGTAGGGTGATTGCCAAAGGAAGAGGGTCACATATCATACATAGCTGGGGGTGGGTGGCTGATGGGGCATGGCAAGTTACCTTGGTAAGTTCCTGAGCGTTGGCCAGGTTGTCAACAGCAATGGCCAAGAAGACGTTAAGAAGCGTATCTGGTCACAGCTGCGTCAAGGAAATGGCGGGAACCAGTTGTGCCATAACAAGGCAAACAAACAACTGGCAAACAAACAAACAACAAGCAAACAACTGGCATACAAACAACCAAGAGGCAAACAACTGGGAAACAAATTGGCAAACAACCAACAAGCAAACAACTGCCAAACAAACAACTGACAAGCAAACAAACAATTGGCAAACAAACAACAATTAAAAAACAACGGACTAGCAAACAATCGACTATCACCTACGACCTTCTGACCTCCATCTTCACAACACGACTTCTCAAATGGATACAGTTCCCAAACAGCGTGAGCACAATGAAGTATATGGAGGACCACATTCCTGTCTTCACACCGCCCTGGGAGCGAATCCCGTTGTACATCACCTCGTTCCAGTCCTCCCCAGTAAGTATCTGGATGAGCAGAAGCACATCCAGGCACACTAACTTAATCTTTAATCTCCAGTGCATTGTGCACAAGGGCCTCCTGTGCTGTCTCATGTAAAACAAGACATCTGACCCATGTCTGCCAGCAATATTCTCTGTGATGCTCATTTTATTATTTACTACGAATCATGGTATTACGGCCTCAAGCTAACAGATCGTACGGATTCTCTTTATTTAACACAGTCATACACGGTCGAGGTTTCCAAACCGAACCTGAAACACTGTCATGATGGCAGCTGGGAAAGTATCAAAATGGGTTGGGGTGTAATCTTCAAAGATGAACCTGTGGGAAAGACAGGAGCACGGGTGACGTCTGAGTAGGACGCACATTGCACAAGGTGACTGTTTTCTTGCCCGAGCCCAAGCAATACTCCGACATTGTCGAGGATTTCTAAAGATACATTGTTGTTTCTGTAAAACGATGGGTGTTACAATGGTTTAGGCCACAAAATATTTCAACAGAATGTCCTCATCATCGTGACAAGCTGTAGGCAAACTTGTGCACCCAAAATATACACTTCACTCGTTATGACTTCCAGCCACACAGCAGTGCTTGGGAAGTGGATTGTTAAACTTTGTCCAGCAGAAACCGGCTTTTGACATACAAAAATATAACTTGGGGACCACAAAGAAACAGTGTCTGCCATGTTAGGCAAACAGCTTGACATGAATAGGAATTAACTTGATTGCATCAAAGGCAGCTCTGAAGCAGTGCTTCTGGCCGTAAAACCACAAGTGATAGTGATGGGGTGGGAGTTCCGGTTCTATACCTGCCCCCAAACAGCTGCATGCCCAGCAAAGCGAAGACCACAATGAAGAGGAAGAGCAGGAAGAGCAGGCTGATGATGGACTTCATGGAGTTCATCAACGACACCACCAGGTTCCTCAGAGATGCCCAGTACCTGCACCAAGCAAGCACCCAGAGTTTACAGTCACCCTTGTGCTGTATACCACCACTGCCGCATGACGACATGATTCGTCATAGCTAACCTCTCTAATTAAGGCTACAAACATTATCAGCTGATTAATTAGCCCCTGTCTTCCCCAATCGCAATACCAAAATAAGGTGCAGGCCTGCAATGATCTGCTAAAAATCAATGAGGGATATATGTGGCTCATCACTTTTAAATTTTCATTTCTTCTGCAGACAGTGAATATGGACTCAAACATGCCTGTACCAGGAATAAAAATTTTAGCCCGATTTTGGACATCAAAGGAGTGTGATTCACAAAAGACTCCGAACTCCTGTATCAAATATAGAGGGAAAGGTGCCTCCCCATCTCCTGTCTGTCTCCAATACATAATACTGTTTAAAGCTCAAGAATGACTGTGATTCAGGGAAGTGACTATGTCGCTGGGATTGTTTCCTGCACCATTTATAGGGATGCAGCACCCCTCCCCCCCCTTCACACTTTTAGCTTTGTCCCCTGGCCTGTGAAGTGTTTAAGCAGGGGCCAATCAGATCTGCTCAGACACATAAATCTGAATAACAAATCTGGCACAGTCAGAGCGAGGCTGACGTAACCTGACGCGGCGCATGTTTTTTAGTGTTTTAATGACGCTGTCGTGTTTACACAAAGCACAGTCTGCAAGATCCAACATCATCTGAATAGTATTTAATTTGCCCTCAGTAAAAAATGCACACCCCCCTGCCATTTTTGCTGCCATTTCTATGAAAAATATGAACTAAATCAGAGTGTTAATTAACGGTAATTACAATCTTTGACACTTTCTGACAAGCGGCGCAGTTCAATCTCCAGTGATTAACTTTTTAAAAGCAGCAACGGAGATGACAATTAAAATATCGCTTTTCAGGGTGAGTACATTGTTAAGAATAATTTCAGTCTTTTGAGGAGAACAATTTCTATTTTTGCGGAACAGATCTCTGCACAAGTCACCCAGTTGTCTCATTCATTAGCATGACATCACAAACGAACAGAAACACACAAGCCTTAATTACTAAAGAAATAAATGAACACTGACCCCACTGATCTGGTGTCATAACTGGTTCATGGTTGTCCTTTTTGCTTACCAAATAATGACGGGGCCCAGTGCCCTCCCAGCATGCTCAGAAGAGCCCCCCCCCCCCCGCCACCAGCCAACATGGTCCTACTCACTTGGTGATCTTGAATATCCTAAGCAAACGTAGAGCCCGCAGAACACTGATCCCAAACGACGTTCCAGGCCGGAAGAATCCCCACAGTACCTCAAAAATGCTTCCTACAATGACCTGTGAATACACTGTAATTAAGGCCAGTGGTCCCCAAGTGCAAAGAGTCAGTTATACCGATATGCAGAAGCAGGACCTATCCATCATGTTCTCGGTTACACTAAATTAAACTTTATTCAGCTGTAATGTGCTTTCTTTTATCTTAATTACACTGCAATTGTAATACACAAAAAGAGTGTTGACACAATTGGCTGATAAAACATCAGAATCTAAAGTCAGGCTTGAAAAATTGAAAATGTGCAGATAAAATACAAAATAACAAATGAATGAAACCCATTATAGTATTCTAAACATTTCAGAGAATAAGTAACAGGCCTTTGATAACCATTTCATACTGATCCGTATCCATACCATCGTGCTGAGTAACAGCGTTTACTATAATGATCCTCCCATCCCCTAAAAGGCACAGCATAATTTAATGTAACACATCATACAATGACTGAACAAATAAACATGGCAGAAGATTCCATCTCCAAAGCTAAGACATCATTTATTTAATCATTTATTGCTATCAAAGATTATCATTTTGTGGCGTACTGTTCTCCAAAACTACTCATACTTTTTTATACTGATTAAGGCTGGATAGGATTTTTCTGTAACACTTATCTAAACATCTGATGTGTCCCAAAGAGAGAAAACCTTGAGATTGATATCTGCTCTACCTGTTGATAGATTTTACTGGGCAGCACTGACTAGTCATTTAAAAACATCTGATTAGTTTTTAAAGTGAAACAATGAATTGTTATTATTTTACTGCACCTCAGAAAAGTTACTATGGAGTAGAGATGCTTCAAATGATCAGCAGCCCATTAAAATTTAAATCGGCCGATTTTCAGTCTTAATTACCCAAACGGCGGCCTTTAATTTGACCGATCTCAATACCAATTTTGTGGATGACGTACAATTAGGGATACTCTGACCCATCAAAATGATCATTAGCTGCCAATATTCATTATAAATAGTTTGATCGGAGCTCTCTATAAAGGCCAATCAGAGGAACCAATCAGATGACAAAAT